TTAAAAAATACATGTTAATTGGACTCGTACCATTTGTGCAGTAAAGTAAATGTATCTGGCCTTTTTCTGTTTGTCCATGCGTCAAGGTTATAGAGATGGCCTTAATTAAAAAGAAACCCGCAGACTTCCCTGGTGGCACAGTGGTTAACAATCCGCCTGCCAGTGCAGGGGACACAGTTTCAATCCCTGGTCCCGGAAGATTCCACATGCCGCAGAGCAACTAAGCCTGTGAGCCACAACTACTGAAGCCCATGTGCCTAGAGCCCGTGCTCCGCAACAAGAGAAGCCACTGCAATGAGAAGCCCGCGCACCACAACGAAGAGTAGCCCCCACTCGCCGCAACTAGAGAAAGCCCACGCGCAGCAACAGACACAACACAGCCAAAAACAAAAAACAAAAAAACGGAAAAAACCAGTCAGCTCATCCCTACCATACCCAAGGCCACAAAACATTTTTGAAGGAGGTGGAGAAGGAAGGATAACCAATACAAATTAGGAACAGTAACTTCAAAAAATGATTGGAATATCTGAACTAGAGTTTTTTTTAAGTTGAAATGTACTCTGCAAGAAAATATTCTCAACTGGGTATGCTGTGTATGCCCCTAGATTTGCTGATGACATCCTCCTTTAGGAAGACAGATGAAAGTGAAAGGCCTCACTCATCAAAATTACAGAGAAATGGAGTATTACAGTAATTTCTTTTTTTTGCCACCAAAGACTCCTTTCACTTGTTCATTTTATTTATATATTTACTTTGGCCGTGCTGTGTGGCTTGCAGGATCTTAGTTCCCCAACCAGGGATTGAACCCAGTCCCACAGCAGTAAAAGCACCGAGTCCTAACCACTGGACCACCAGGGAATTCCCTCACCTCATTTTATTTATTTTTCTTTTTTTGGAGTATAACTGCTTTACAGTGCTGTGTTAGTTTCTGCCATACAATGAAGTGAATCAGCTATATGTATACCTATATCCCCTCCCTCTTGGACCTTCCTCCCACCCCCCACTCCACATCCCACCCATCTAGGTCGTCACAGAGCACCACGCTGAGCTTCCTGTGCTTTATAGCGTGTTTCCACTAGCTATTTATTTTACGCATGGTAGTGCAGATAGGTCAGTCCTAATCTCCCATTTCATCCCACCCCTCCCTTTCCCCCCGTGTCCACATGTCCGTTCTCTATGTCTACATCTCTATTCCTGCCCTGCAAATAGGTCCATCTGTACAATTTTTCTAGATTCCACATTAATGTGTTAATATATGATGTTTGTTTTTCTCCTTCTGGCTTACTTCACTCTGTATGACAGACTCTAGGCCCATCCATATCTCTACAAATGACCCAGTTTCATTCCTTTTTATGGTTGAGTAATGTTACATTGTATATATGTACATCTTCTTTAGCCATTCATCTGTTGTTGGACATTTAGGTTGTTTCCATGTCCTGGCTATTATAAATAGTGCTGCAGTGAACATTGGGGTACATGTGTCCTTTTGAATTATGGTTTTCTCAGGGTATATGCCCAGTAGTGGGATTGCTGGGTCATATGGTAGTTCTATTTTTAGCTTTTTAAGGAACCTCCATACTGTTCTCCACAGTGGCTGTTTCAATTTACATTCCCACCAGCAGTGCAAGAGGGTTCCCTTTTCTCCACACCCTCTCCACCTGCTCATTTTTAACTGTTACCTACTGTGATGGCTAATTTTATGTTTCAACTCTACTAGACTAAGGGATGTTGGTGAAACATTGTCTTTGGGTGTGTCTGTTGAGGGTGTTTCTGAAAGAGATTTGTATTTAAGTCCTTAGACTGAGTAAAGAAGATTGCCCTCAACCATGCTGATTTGATTATCCAATTTGTTGAGGGCCTGAATCAAAAATGAATGAGGTCAAATTTGTTCTCTGCCCAAGTGGGGTATGCATCTTCTGTCCTTGGACATCAACGCTCCTGGTTCTTAAGCTCCTTTGGACTCAGATTGAATTACATCATTGGCTTTCAGTTTTCCAGCTTATGAACAGCATACCATGGGACTTCTTGTACTCCATAATCACATGAGCCAATTCTTATTATCTATCTATCTGTCTATCCATCCATCCATCCTATTGGTTTATTGGTTCTGCTTCTCTGGAGAACCCCAAAAGATATACTAATTAATATTTTTTTGCTTCATCTACTTTAACCCTAATTTTCTTTCAAAATTGTTCCATGTGTTAATTCACATAAGGAATTTGAGTAATGCCATTAAAAGTTCAGTCTTTTACTTTAGTGGGGCCCTAAACAAAACCCCACAAGCCCGCCTCAAGTTTTTGTTTGGTTCTCTCTTCCATTGTCCCTAATTGCTACTCCAAATTTTACTATTGACAAGGCTCCCAACTCTACCCCTCATGGTGGCCACCCCTCTCCTTCTCTGACTCTCAAAACATGAATTTGACTATTTTTTGGAAATGGGTCATCTCAAGTGTATTCTATTTCTTCCCCTTCCCCCAGACACTAAATCTGTCCTCTTTCCTTTTCTCCCAAATGGGAGGAAGAAAGCCTCCATAGTAAATCCTTCCATTAATGCTAAAATTCATTTTTGCTTATCTAATAACTCAATTTCCATTTGCTCTCCTTTATCTTCAACTTCTCCCTCAACTGGCTATCTATTCAGAATGGAAAAATACTTTTTTTCTTTAATCTTGATCTATATCCCTCCTCATATTCACAATCTACTTTTTATTCCCTTTTACAGACCAGTAAAATTAAGTAAGACGAATAATCAAAAAAGGATTGCCATTTTTTTTTAACTAAAGACATACATTCAACAGGCCAAAATTACTATTATTTCACGAAAGGACTTTTTTATTTTAAAAGGGGGGCATTATTTCAGAAAAAGATTAAGTTCTTCAATCAACTTAGCTTTTTTTTTTTTTTTTTTTTTTTTTTTTTTTT